GAGAAGAATGTAGTAGTATGGGGTAAGACCATAAAGTATAGGCAAAAGAATGAAAAAAACAAACATAATGGCAGATTTATAAGAGACAAAGAACGGGGCCGCCGTGGTACAGTGGTAACGTGCGCGGCTGTAGGCCGGAGGGTCTGCAAGCGCCTGGGTTCGATTCCCGGCCACGGTCCGAGGTTAAGAAGGGCATCCACTCAGGGTAACTGTCTCCCCCTGCCAATAAATGCCTGCCTTTCACGGGGTAGGCCCTTCCTAGCTCTTGTCCAAAAAGGGAGTTTCGTGACGTTAAACCGAAAAAAATGAGATAAAGAACATCCGTTTTCGTTGTAACTAGTTCTGGTGTTAAAGTAAAGCAACAGATGTTACTAAGATTCATATTTCTAATCACATGTTCATCACAAAAGCTGTTCCATTAACATAATTTGAAAAGAACCCATTTTCTTGTTCATTTGATCGTTGGAACATTTTGTACGTACCATGGCGCCTATTTTGGCATTTGGGAGTTCAAAGACCTCTTGCGCCGCGGAGAATTAGGACCCCAACTCTTCCCAGTACGCAGGGGGAAGTTGCTACCTATAGAACCCTTCGTTGCAGCGATTCATTTTACGTTAGATCCTGGAAGTTGTTAGCGCCTCCCGAGGACAGTGTGCCCCCCCCCCCCCCTTGTAAGGAAGGCCAAACTGGAGTGACGAAGTGGTCGTAAATGCTGTATTCATTCCATTATTTTTATGTATGTCTGTTATTTAGCTTTGTCTTACTATTTTTTTCATTCCTTTGTTTAATCTCATTATTGTATTTCAATATATAGTATTTTTACGCTCGTGAGTATAACTGTGATTCTATTTGTTTGATTTAATTCTAATCTTTATACCATCCAGTTGAACAAGATAGTTTAAATAAGTTAAAAAACAGTAATGCACCAGTGACTAAGCACAGGCGTTTCGGCAACTACACTTCTTCCCTTCGCGGATCGCCCTTAACGCCTCAGATGCACTGCCTCTGAAGTCGAGCTCAAAGCCCTTTTTTTTCCTGTTTAACCAAAGTAAAATGCTGTTCTGGGATGCAAGACCAAAGGACGTTTGTTATTTAACGATTTGTATGTTGTGTTAATGGTTATTTGATTTAGTAGGATGGCTTGCTTTTACTGTTGTCGTTTCATGGGTATTTTGATATTGCTCTTTTATCTTTACTTTTGCTTTATTTGAATTCTTACTTGCTCTTGTTTCAGCTTTTGGGTTCACTGATTTATTTAATTTCAGTTTTCTATTATCATTTTTATCTCTTTTTGCAAAAGCTCTACCAGGTAAATAGTAGAATCTTATCCCCATATATATATTTAGAAAAAAATATCTTAATAAATATACATATACATATATAAGTGCATGTGCGTCCAAACGTATTCTGGGACCAAAGGCCCGAAATTGCATTTATCTTTGTTAATATTTTTTTTTACATATATATCTATGTTAATGCACCACAATAGTTAGATTAAATGCATTAACGTAAATATAACGAAGCTTATTTTATAGCTGAAAATTTGAATCAACAATACATTTAATAAGCGCAATTTCAAGTAATTGGACGCACATACCTTCATCTATGAGGTGTATGTATTTAATTACACACATATAGCTTTATGCAATATGTATATATATCTAAATACACATTTCTATCTATCTCTATATATGTGTGTGTTTCGGGGATAAGATTATTCAGATAGATTAAGGTTAGATGAATTAAAACACCGAGGCAGGAGAGTTACCACGAGTCCGAAAATGATACATATGCAATCATATGCATCGGTATCCATGAACTTTCCTGGAAGGTCTAAGGTTTTAAGAGCAACTGTGAATATGAAATATTAAAAGCATTCCTGCGGTCGGGTTTGACATTATCTTTACCGAAAAAAATATTATTATGAATATTACTGTAAATTGTAATTAAGTCATCATTAGGCATACCAACTACAGCGCGCGTGAGGCATCAGTCATGCCAAGCAATCCCCGAAGAAGTCCCCAGGGAAGGGGCTTGGCTGAGCAATTTAATAACACGGTTTGCGAGTGCGGGGCTCCGGCGCCCTTCCCTGAGCACCGAATTGCGGGGCCCACACCAGCGTCTTGATAATACGGAAGATGGATTATGAATCACTCAGTTCATTATCAAGTGAATTTGCCGTAATGCCTAACCCTAACATTTGCTCACATCCCCCGTGAAAGGAATCACAGAACCCATGGGTTTCGTCTCTAAACAAGCCTTAACCCGAATGGAGTAAAGGAATCCGAAACTGTCAATAAGCAGGAAATGGAACGTCAGATGATGTAAACACCCGTCTATAAACAACAGGATCGAGGGTTTCTATGAGGATAATAATAACACGAGTAATGATTCGAAGGGAGTATTGACAACCAGTGTTGACTGAGATTGATTGTGAGCAAGATAACCATAACCTTCGCGGTGAGGATAATGATAATGGTAATGATAATAAGTCCATTTA